TCTGAGGCCAGGTTAGCCCAATGCAGAGAGTATTCAGGTGTGAGGCCACGGCGAGGGCACCCAAGCAGAGTGAGAGCAAGGGGGAGACACCGAGACGGTGAATAAGACGCGGTCTCCCAAACGGGAAACCACGGCAACCCTCAACTTCTATTCTCGCTGGACACCATCTCCATGAGGGGAGGAAAATGCCCAGAGCACACAGTGCCCAGAGAGCGAATTTATACTTAAAAACTGAGATGTTTTGCCGGAAGTGCTGCCGAACTACCCGGAAGACTAATTTGTCAGAGTTGGAGGCACCCTTAGGAGCCCTGGTGGCGCAGTGGTTAAGTGTTGGGCTGTGGTCCTCCCGGGTGGCAGTTGAAAGCCACCAGCAGCTCCTTGGGAGAAAGACTGGCCTCTCTACTCCCGTAAGTGGTCACGGTCGCTGACCCCACCGGGGTCACTATGCGTCAGCATCCACTCGATGGCAGTGAATTTGGGTTTGGTTTCAGAGCCGCTCAGGAGGTGAAATCGTGCAGTGGGAGAGCTGCTTTTCCTTCCCTCTGCAGTGGCCACGGGCATTCCTGCTCCGTACTTACCACTCTGACAGCGGCGAAGGGCGTCCCGGGAAGAGTCAGCCATTTAGTAGGAGGTAGTAGGAAGTGAACGGGAACCTGAGGCATTGTCTGAGTAGACACAAATGCTACACACACAGACGTGCATACATATGTGCTCACCCACATGCCTATTCACGCACGTGTATTTACTCACATATACTTTCCTCTACACATATTTGCATCCATATCTACCTACATAATGACATATGTATATGTGTGTGTTTACTATTGCTGCAAATTTGTGTCGGCTATAGCACTTAGCAAAACCATGTACTTGTTAGTGTCTTTATTCATCTTGGACAAGTTGCTTTGAGTTCATCCATATGTAGGATTACTTTTCCCATCACCAAAAGTCACAAGTGTCTGTCACGTGAGTCCCCTTTCTGTTTCTCACATCCCTGGTCGCCATCAAAGACCATTGTTTTCTGCGTGTGCATATCTAGTCTTGACTTTTAATAATAGTGAATGAAGAGATACGTTGCAGTGGTACGTTTTCTTCGGAATGCTTTGCTAAGAATTATTGTGTATTTGGTAATACATTTAACAAAGCTATTTCTTATGGAGAGATTAATGATCCAAATGTGTAAGAATTTCCTCGAGTGATCACTTCAATTGTCCAAACTAGCAAG